CGCTCCACCTTCTCGGCTAGGCTAACTGTGTCTGCCAATGTATAGGTCTGCTGCAAAGATACACGATCTTGAATCGCTATCCTTAATCCCCCAATGTATCGAGACATCTGCTGCGTCTCGCTCTCGTGTAAATTGTTGCGGGATGACAGTCGATAGAACTCCTGCGTATACTCATCCACGGTTCTTCCACCTTGCCTACAATTCTGATACTGCCCAAATAAAACTTGTTCATAATCACTTGGTAAGAAACGGGCTCTCAGTAGCTTCTTCATCTTTTCCCACCTATCGACCTTCGGCTTTCCTTGACGAGATCGATTCAGACAAACAGACTCCCACCAAGCCGAAGCTCCACCTTTGAGTCTGTAGGCCACCAATTTAATCTTACGTTCTTCAGGGATCTCCATATACTCAAAGAACCTCTCTACTTCTGCAATCAAGTCGAGAAACTCTTCAATATGAAGTTGCCCGTTGAAAGATGGCAGATCCATCTTCATCTTGAAACCTCCAGCGTCATAATTATCCCTTTGTCGTCGGTCTCTGCGATAAACACCACGGCGTGGGGGTGCATAGTGATCTTCCTCGCTGTCGGAATCTTCATACGGAGTCGGTTCACGTCGTTGGCGACCATCAACGCGATTTCGATCTCCTGCAATCTCCAGACGCTCTACTGCCGCTGCTATTCGCTCCACGACAGTCTTCATCTGATTAACATCGGTCTTTAGCACGTCGAACTCAGTTCGAGAGATAAGGGGCTTCATCACCTGCTATCGGATCGGAGGAACAAGTCTCTGATACTAATTGACGCAGCGCGGAAGTTGTAACCTCGGAATCCACCAAGGGTGTTCTCTGAATCCACAAAGAACGATCTTCGAATCCACGAAGAGCTTCGAATCCACGAAGAAATATTGAGGAAAAACAAAATTTTATTAATCAAAAGTTATGCCTCTAAGGGCTTACAAGACTCTTCTTAAATAGAAAAAGAAACAATACTCCTACAAGGACTCTAATTCCTACAAGGACTCAACTTGCCAAAAATGGTAAAGAATTCCTAAAACATTAAAACTCCTAAAAAGACTCCTTATGAATAGGAAAGTCCACCGGTCAAACCTGAGATCAAATCGGATTTGTTTCCTAAACAAAACAGACTCCTAAATTATTACTAAAAATAGTAAAAACGGACAAAATTGTAATTATCTCTCAAACCGTAAGGAATTTGGCGAATATGAGAACGCAAACCGAACCCAAAGGGGTTGGTTTGGATGGCTCCGTCTCGTCGAGATAGTCGATTTTCATATATAATTTGTCCAATTCCGACATACGGTTTGAAAGTTACGGCCGTTTCTTCGAAACATGTTATTTTCTTCGACCAGGCCCGCATTTGGGCTTGCGACTGTCCTACTTTGACATAAACATGTCTGCTGTGTGTTCTACATCACATTGTCTTTTAGGGTAGACTACATTGCATGTCCTAATTCTTGGTGGGATCTTTGAGATAGATCTTGCTGTAAATATGGACATAAAGCGATTGATGGGTTTTAGGTTGGCCTTTTGTGAGTGTCTAAGGCCAACAAAGGACCGATATGGACATAAAGCGATTGATGGGTTTTAGGTTGGCCTTTTGTGAGTGTCTAAGGCCAACAAAGGACCGTCATACACGATCATATATATCATGTATCCATCAAGATATTGAAAAATTTTAATACTTTATATGATGATTAAGTTACTCACTAGTGATGGCCAACATAGTTATCTTGTTATAAAAAATCTTGTTATAATGGTGTTTTTAGACATTGTTTTCTTAGCTTTGATTCTCCGATACAGAAAGTTCAATGAAAGTCTCTTCTTCAGTCTAAGTGTTACTAGTCTATTTCAGCCATCTTTCCAAGCATTTGAGTTCATTCCTTTTTGAAAAGCGCTTCTCTTTTAAACTATAATTGGATTCACTATATTTTTCTTTTTTGTAGCCACCTATTGTACATAATAGATTTTAGGATTGCTAACTTAAGGTATCCTTTTTCTCTTTCAATTAAAAAACAATTTTGGTATTTTTGTCTACTTGTCATTGGATCATGACGAACGAAAGCGAGCAAATATCGCAGGTTATAGCTCACAAAATCGCGAATTTTGAATATGCTTAGTTAATTGCTATTGGATTGAAATGAACAAAATGGACTAAAATTGTGGGTTATAACGATCAAAATTAACAAAAATCATGAAGTTTGAAGTACACATACTTGTCATTGGATCCAAAAAGTCATGGGGTCCATAAATATTGCAAAGCTTGACAAATTTTGACGTGCGCATATAGTGTTAATGCGCGAGGCGCAATGCGGGGCGCAAAGCATCTTTAAGCGCACATGCGCAAGACGCAACGCGATACGCGCACCCGAGTGATGCGAGGCGCATGCCGCACACATAATATTTTAATATATGTAATCAAGCGTGAAAGAACATGTTTTTAGAATTTACATGAAAAATGTCATGATAAATAATATCTTACTACAAAATCATAATATATTATCTTAATTTCTAATGCTAACACCCAACATAATAGCAAATTTCATAAATTTTAAAATCAAATGTTAATTCAAGACTAATATCCAAACAAAGGATTAGTAATGGTCCTCAATTGAAGGTTATTAAAAAGGTCCAATGGATTTATTTTGTTTTTTGGGATATGGAATATCAAGTATAAAGACTCGATTGAAATGTTAACAAACAATGGATTTATTTTGTTTTTTGGGATATGGAATATCAAGTATAAAGACTCGATTGAAATGTTAACAAACAAAACTATATGAGAAAATGTACTACATGCATCCTACACAAAGTACGGATGTCCATGAGGCGCAAAAGGCGCTGCTGCATCAGATGTGGGGCGCTTCGCCACCGCCCCGCATCGTAAGGCGCATGAGGCGCGCGCCTTTGAAAACACTGTGTGCATACTTATTTGTCATTGGGTCGAATATCGATAATTGACTAAAGTCGTGAGTTATAGCCCACAAAAATCACAATTTTTTATGAAAGAAAATTTAATTGTCATTGGGTCGATGCTAACAAAAATATACTAAAATCATGGGTTTAAACCCATGAAAATTGCGAATTTTTATGTACGCATGATTAATTGCCATTAGGTTAAAATGGACGAAAATGAGAAGATACCATGGGTTTTTACTAATGAAAATCTTGAAATTTGAAGCACGCATATTTATTGGTCATTGGGTTATAACTAACGAAGATTGAAAAATATCATGGGTCATATACGTCTCTGAAATTCACGAATTTTGAAAATCGTGGATAATAGTCAATGAAAATTACATATGTGGGTTATATATCTATGAAATTCCATGACAAAGATCTTGGGGTACTCATAGTTGACTGCCATTGGGTCAAAGCGAATGAAGATTGACGAAAATCATTCTTTATAGCCCATGAGAATTGCGATTTTGAAGTAGGTATAATTAATTTTCATAGTGACAAAACTAACAAAAATTGCAAAACTTGTGCGTTTATCCATCAACATTGCTAACTTTAAAGTAGGCATAATTAATTGTCATTGGGTCCAACGAACGATGATGGACAAAAAATTATGAGTTATAGCACATGAAAATCGGAAATATTGAAGTTTGAACCATTAGTTGTTATTCGGACGAAACAAACAAAAAGGATAAGAATCGTAGACAGTATGACAATATGTGAAACCATGAAGTTTGTAGTATGCATACTTATTTGCCAATTGGTCAAAGAATGAAATTTGACAAAAATTGTTGGGTGTAGCTCGTGAAATTTCAATTTTTTATGAAAGAAAATTTAATTTTAATTGGGTTGAAGCTAACAAAATAAGACAAATGGTGGCGATAACCTATAAATTTTTTAGTATGCATGATTAATTGTCATTGGGTGGAACAAACAAAAATGAGCAAATAACGTGGGTTATAGCCCATTAAATCACGAATTTTGAAATATGCACAAAAAATGGACAAAAATCGTGAATTAACCCATGAATACTTGCGAATTTTGAAGTATGCCAACTTATTTGTCATTGGCTCGAAGAGCGAGTATAGATGAAAATTATGGGTTATAGCCCAGTGAAAATCATGATTTTTTGTTGAAAATTTAATTGTTTAGGTTGAAACTGATAAAAATAGTCACAAATGTGGGTTTTAGCCTATGAAAACTACAAATATTTTGGTAAGCATAGTCAATTGCCATTAGGTTGGAACAAACAAAAATTGATAAAATTTGTTGGTTATACCCAATGAATATCTTGATTTGTGAAGTATACATATTTATTTGTCATTGGGTTGAAACTAAATAAAATTGAAAAAATCGTGGGTTAATTCAAGAATATCGTGAAAATTTTGAAGTGTGTATAGTTACATATCATTGATGCGAGTCAAACAAAAATTGTCAAGGTGTAGGTTTATCCCATCAAAATCATGGATTTTGAAATAGTCAAAATTAATTATCATTGGGTTGAATGAACAATACCGAACAAAATTTGTAGATACCTATGAAATGATGAACATTGAAGTTCAAAAATAATCTGTTATTTTGTGCGTGTGTATTACAAAATATTGAAGTTGCAATTAACTTGGTTTTTTGTGTGTGTGTATTACAAAAAATTGAAGTTGCAATTAACTTGGTTTTTTGTGTGTGTGTATTACAAAATATTCATATAAGTCAGCTTCACTATTTCTACTATAAATCCTGCATAGTTCATCTTTGAGCAGTAAATCAGTGAGTTTTTGAGATGATTGTAAAGATAAATTAACAAAACAAAAAATACAACCGGGCCATGCCTGTTGGATTAGGCCGGAGCCAACATCGAGGCACAAGTTCATTCTTCAAAAGACTAAAGAAGTTTCATCCTCCTCATTTCCTCCAAAAAAGATCTCAATGGAAACCCTAGCCTCCCCGATCCTCCATGGCCGGGACCTCCCAGATCCTCTCCTCGAGCGCCTCCCCCTCTCCGGCTACGTC